GGGTGCCGTCAGAATGAGAGTCCAAACAGCTGATAAAAACATCACAATAATCCACAAGTAATCCACACCACTCCAGTCCATCAGTTAACGTCTTGTGAAGTGAAAAGCTGCTTGTTTGTAAGAAACAAATCCATTACTAACGTTGCTTCTGGCCAAAATGTGAGTCCATCATGATTTTATCAGCTGTTTGGACTCTCATTCTGATGGCACCCATTCATTTTGGGATCTGGGATCTCTTCCAATGAAGAAAGAAACTCATCTACATCTTGGATGGCCTGAGGATGAGTACATTTTCAGCAAATTTTCATTTTTGGGTGAACTATTCCTTTAAGGTGCATTCACACCAAGGACAATAACTATAACAATAAAGATAATGTTTTAATAATTGTTCTACACCACACCACAATTATAATGATAATGACACCATTGAAATCACTTTCAGAATGTTTTTTTTCCCAGTTGATGAACATAAAAACATTGACAGCATTTAAAGCAGGAGATGACATAACTGCAGTGCGTGTTCATAATAAACAGAACCATATTTTCTTAGTGTGAAGAACATTTTTCCGCTGTAAAGAACCTTTTGTGCAATGGAAAGGTTCCGTGGATGTTAAAGGTTCTTCATGGAACCACAGATGCCAATAAAGAACCTTTATTTTTAAGAGCCATTATCATACAAATTGTTCGTTTTCAGGTGTAAATAATGATCATTTGATATTTTTTTGACTGCAGATTGAGTAAACTGACCTTCATCTGAATGACACCATGACTCGGTACGCTCTCGAACACATAGATAATGTCAGAGGACGGAGTGTCTTTGTCGTGAGCGCTGAGCACAGCACTGGAGATCAGCCTGGACTCCCCAGCCTCCATCTCAATCCCAGTGTTCCTGTGTTTTGGAATTTTTTTTTTCAAAGAGATTTACCACTTAAACTGATTTATTAATGGCTAACAGTAGAGGATGATTTACTGCAATGACATTAATTTGTAGTTACCGTATAATCTGCGGCTCCTCATCATTGACAGGCAGTACTTTGACTCGCAGGTGTTTCTGGAGCTGGTGTTTCCCGTCGGAGAGCTGAACAATAAATCCATCCTGCTTACTCTCAGAGTCATCGTGCACGTACATCAGAGTCATGCCTGAGGACAGAGTAACACAAACAGACTTTATTGTTGATATACGCTTCTAATTGATCAAGAAAAGACACATTAAACTGATCAAAAGTGACAGTTAAAACATGTACAATGACATATAAGATTTGTATTTTACATAAAATCGTTTCTTTTAAATGTTTTATTAATCAAAGAATCCTGTAAGAATCCTATTAGAATCATGAAGGACACTGAAGACTGGAGTAATGATGCTGAAAATTCAGCTTTGCATGACAGGAATAAATTACATTTTAAAATATATTGAAATAGAAAACAGTTCTTTTGAACTGTAATAATGTTTCACAATTTTACAGTTTTTACTGTAGACCATACAATTTGGACTTGGAGGGGGGATGGGCATAAAAGTCTATTTGCAGTACCGTTCCTGTGGTTGTCCATGGTGAAGTGCTCCACAGGGATCTCAGATCCAGGCTTGTAAAGTGTCACATCATTGCCGTGTGGCACGCTCATGATGGAGCCGTGCTGAGGCTGCTGGACTATGCTAAACATTAAACGCTCTCTGGGGACATCAAGGTCCACCGCACTGATTATAGATGGGTCCAGCTCTTTCATGTCTCCCTCCCGAACCTAAAAGACAAAACCCTGGTCATCACAACTGAATTAACTACAGCAAAGTTTCTTTATATAGACAGACTATGCCATATGTACAGTATAAACCTAATCATTTGTTTTTTTTAGAGATCGACCGATATATCGATTTACCGATATTTTTCCCGATATTAAGCATTTTGCCATAATCGGATATTGGTTTTGTAATATCGGATTCACCGATAAATGCCGCCATCTTGTGGGTGTTTTGAGAATTGCATGCAGGATCGGCATTGAAGCGCATCTGAGGGGAGGCGAGACAACAACAACGGCATGGTGCAGGTACTTGATTTGCTGTAGTTAGTAAACTTTATTTAACATAACAGCCATTTATGCACAAATTAGATGTATTTATAAATATTTTTTTTTTATTGTTGTAGTATGAAGATTCATTTTAACATGAAAGACTGCTAATTTTCAACACTTAAAAAAAAAAAAAGATGACTGAAAAGAGGAAAAACCAAAGTGAAGTATGTTCTTACTTCACTCAGTCATTTATTTACTTTATAACAGTAAATAAATATCGGTTCTGCATATCGGTTATCGGGCACATAAACATGCAAATAATTGGTATCGGTTATAAAAAATCAATATCGGTCGATCACTAGTTTTTTTTTTCACTTACTCAGCAGTTATATACCTAGCTAATAAAATATGTTCTAAGAACGTTTTGCTAACGTTCCCATTAAGTTAAAAATAGAACATTCTGAATGTTCTCTGAACGTCCAAACCATCCAGTTTTTTAAATGCTTTAAAACGTTTTTTTTTTGTTATGTAAATGTTAATGGAACATTTCATTAGATTATTTTGTAAAAATTATGGGACCATTACTTTTGAATGTACTTTCTGAAACAAGTAGCAACATTTAAAAAACATTAGATGGGCATCTAACTAAAACGTTTCAGAAAAAAAATGTTTCATGAACAATATACTGTATAAATAATCTTTTTAAGCTAACATTTTGACAACATTAATAAAGACCAGATAACTTTGAACAAATGTTCTGTTAACATCACTGGAAGAAATCACAACTTTGAGAGAACTTTACCAGAACATTAGCCAAAGTTCTCTCATATGAACTGACTAGAGCAATGTTTCTTGATAAAGATCATGTCAAAGTATAAACACAAAAACCTAATTGTTTTATTCAGTTACTCAGCTGTGCTATATATGCAGCTAATATGTTCTAAGAACGTTTTTTAACAGTCCATTAAGTTTATTACTGAATGTTTTAGGAACATTTTGCTAATGTTCTCAATAGTTTAGAAAAATGTTATTTCTGAATGTTCTCTGAATGTTGAAAACATCCTTTTTTTTTACTGCAAATATTAAGGGAATATTACAATTGATAATTTTGCAAACATTAGGGGAACGTTACTTTTGAATGTCTTCTAACCATTCTGAATCAAGTGATAACATTTGTGACCCTGGACCACAAAAGCAGTCTTAAGTCGCTGGGGTATATTTGTAGCAATAGCCAAAAATACATTGTATGGGTCAAAATGATAAATTTTTCTTTTATGCCAAAAATTATTAGGATATTAAGTAAAGATTATGTTCCATTAAGATATTTTGTAAATTTCCTACTGTAAATATATCAAAACTTCATTTTTGATTAGTAATATGCATTGCTAAGAACTTCGTTTGGACAACTTTAAAGGCGATTTTCTCAATATTTAGATTTTTTTTTTTGCACCCTCAGGTTCTAGATATTCAAAGTTACTAATTGTATCTCAGCCAAATATTGTCCTATCCTAACAAACCATACATCAACGGAAAGCTTATTTATTCAGCTTTCAGATGATGTATAAATCTCAATTAAAAAAAAAATTGACCCTTATGACTGGTTTTGTGGTCTAAGGTCACATTTAAAATAAAACATTATACACAAACGTCCAACTAAAACCTTTCAGGAAAAACACGTTTCATGAACAATGCATACATAATGTTTTTTTTTAGCTCACGTTTGGAGAACATTATTACAGACCAGACAAATTTTGAATGAACATTCCATTAACGTGACTTCAAGAAGAACCTTGACAGAACGTTAAACCAATGTTCTGACAACATTCCCTGTTAGCTGGTTACGAGATTCCTTTTTGACTGACCGTGATGTTTCTGGCCAGGAATTCTGGAATCTCATCATTGGTTGGATGGATGATGATGTAAAACGGGACTGAAGAGGACTGCTGTTTCCCGTCGGACACATGCAGCATGAGCTGGTCGGTGGTGGGCTCAATCCTCTGATGTCTAGACTGGACATAGTTAATGTGTCCATTCAACACGTCCCTGTAGGTGAAAGAGGCTGAACAAGGAAAAACAATGCTATCAGTGCTGGGTAGATCACTTACAAAGTGTAGACTGCTACTGATTAATTACATGATGAAAACTTCAGTCAGTAATGTAATCTAGATTACTCATTTAGCCAATGTATTCGGACTACTTTTAGATCACTTTAGGTGACATTTTTTTTATATCTAACTTGTTTAGAGCAGCTTTTAGAGCCAGTGAAATGTGACTCACCAATACTGATTCCCATGTTGCTCTTTTCAAATCCTGGACTGGGCAGGATGTTTTCTATGTATCCAAACTGTGGCGGAGTAACCAGAATGAGGTTAAGGTCCTCTGGAGCAGAGTCCTGGTCTTCAACTCTTAGATGAGCATACGTGATGGAGGCTGATCCGCCCTCATCCACCATAAACACCTCTCCTGATGTGAGAAAAGATGCTTCATGGACACAAGCATGTAAACAATGAGTAGCAAATGCTAAAATATGTCTTTTGAAAAGAGGTGCACTTAATTGTATTAAGTAGTATACTTCAAATCAAAGTCAATTTTGAAAAAAAAAAAACGTACTTGCTGATAATACAATATTAATGAAATTAAAGGCCACTTAAGTGAATTCGAAGAGAGATTATGACTGTTTCAGTCATAAACATAACATACAACATGATATTCTAACATCAGAAAGAAAAGTGTTCCTATTACCGACAACTATAGCTGGAGGTTGGTTGTTCACGGGATAAACGGTGATATTAAGGTCGTAGACAGGCAGGGCGTTCTGTACTTCAGGTGTTTGTGCTTTGAAGACAGTGGCTCTGTTACTGCAACAGGAAGGAACTGGCCCTGATTCTCCATCAGAGATCACAAATGTAACGACGTCATGACGTGGCACCAGCCCAATCTCTTGTCCTTGAGTGTATGATTGATATCAATTTGTTATTGCAGGGATATTTAAGTATATTTTTAAAAAACCTGCACTTGCACATAATGTAATGTTAATGAAATAAAACGCCACTTAAGTGTACTTAAAGAGAATACACTTTCATGACTGTTTTTGAATACACTTAAGTACACTTTTTATAATAAAAAATAAATAAATAAAAGTTACTTTCAAGTACATTTTAAATCGTTGTTTTAATAGATTTGTGAAGAAGTACACTTATGATGACATATTAAGCACTTGTAAAGGTATTCTATATTACATTTAAAGTTACTGTATTGCAACTTCAGCATTAATGCATATTGCAAAGCATATGAACCTTACTTAAAGAGATAGTTCACCCAAAAATGAAAATTCTCTCATTAATTACTCACCCTCATGTCGTTCCAAACCCGCAAGACACAAATGAAGATATTTTTGATGAAGTCTGAGAGCTCTCTGATCCTGCATAGACAGCAAGGATCCTAACACGATCAAGGCACAGAAACGTAGCAAGGACATCGGTAAAATAATTCATGTGACATCAGGGGTTCAACCGTAATTTTACGAAGCTACGAGAATACTTTTTGTGCACAAAGAAAACAATAATAACAATTTATTAGTACCCCAGAACGTAATCAACGTAATGAGCGTTGTTTGTGTTCAGCATGCGTGCGTTTCTACTGAACGTAAGCAATGCTTGATTACGTTGGAAGACGGTAACTCGGGGAGAAGAACTGCTGAATAAATTATATTATTATTATTTTCTTTGCGCACAAAAAGTATTCTCGTAGCTTCGTAAAATTACGGTTGAACCCCTGATGTCACATGGACT